TCTACAGTGCAAGTTCCAGTACAGCCACAGCTACACAAAGAAACCGTCTCAAAACAAAACAACCAACAAACAACCAACATTCAAACAAAATAAATAACAGAAAAATCAGTTACTAGACATGGGACATGGGTAAGAAGGCATAGGATAAACCTGTGAGGAAGACCCTCACTTCAGACCACACTCACCTTGTCCTTTAGCAACTGTTTGTTTCTGGACTCAGTCACTGAAAACTACTCAGAACCATCCCAGTACTTAAGTCCTGACTCCTCAGTCAGTGCTGATTATCAGGACATGTGACATGACACCCGTAGGACACCTTAGAGCAGCACTCAGCTGGAAGCTTAAAGGCGTCAAGAGAGTTAGCAAGAGCAACAAACACCTCCCTTTCTGACTTCTCCAAAGTAAATGCCTCGACTGTACTCTCATATAAGCTTGCTTATGCCTGAAACAGTGCTGATGGTGGTGGTGTGTGGGGGGGGGTGACTCATTTACTCACTTCTCTACTAAGTGGTGAGCTTGGAGAATGGACTATATGCTTTAATCGGTTTTTGAACCCGGAAGCTCAAATTAGTACCTAACACATGACTAAGTGCTCACTAGCAAATAAATATAAACAGAAATAAAATCAGTTCATTTTCCAATATTTAAAGTGTGATATATAAAATTAGGAAATGATATTGTTAGGAGTTTAATAGTTCAAATACAAGATAAGTCCTACCAATATCACAGTGATGTTTTTATAGAAATAGAAAAACTCATCTTTAAATGCATATGGACTGTCAACAGACTGAACAACCTGAACAATCTTGGAGTATCATACTTCCTGGTTGAAAACAATATACTACTTCAAGCAGAAAGGTATTCAAATGGCCTAAAGACACTCCACCCAATGGAAAAGAATAAAGAATCCAGAATTAGTGTGTGTGTGTGTGTGTGTGTGTGTCTGTCTGTCTGTCTGTCTGTCTCTCTCTCTCTCTCTCTCTCACACACACACACACACACACACACACACACACACACACACACACACACACACGTGTAGATGCCAAGAGCAATAGGGAAAGGAAGGCTTATTCAATAAAGGGTGGCTGAAGCTAGATACCCAACATGCAGACAAAAGAAGAGGATTTTACACACACACACCATTCATTCAATATGGATCAAAGACATGGATGGGCACACGCTGATGCACTAGGAGTATAGAAGAGACTGACACTGAGCACCTCAAACAAGAGGGTCTCACCCTCCTTAGCAGCATGGAGGCTGTCCTTGTCTATTTCCTTTCCAAAATAAATTACAACTATCCAAAGTGTGGTGGCCTAAGTATTCATGGGTGAGCTTATTAACTGTGGGAAGAAATATTAAAAATACTTTCAAGCAGTATAGAAGTAGGACATCATTAACACAAAGCTAGATAATACCATTTATATCCTAGCGAGAAGAATAAGCACAAGAAACAGCAGTACTGCTTAGAACTCATACAACACAACATGTTGTTTTCACTTCTCTGAAGAAAGCAATGATGTTGACTTACAGAAAAATTGACCAGAAATTTGACAGACTCTTTTTTTTTTTTTTTTTTTGAGTTTTACGAGACAGGGTTTCTCTGTATTGTTTTGGAGGCTATCGGTCCAGTCCGGCCTCGAACTCACAGAGATCCGCCTACTTCTGCCTCCTGAGTGCTGGGATTAAAGGTGTGCGCCACCACCGCCTGGTTCTTTTTTTCTTTTCTAAAGCATCTTTATCATTTAATATGAATGGAATTTCTGGTTTCGGGAAGAAATTTAGAATATCTGAAAACAAAACAAGTTTCTAAATGAAATATTAAAAATTTGGGAAGCAATCTACAAACATTGAGTGTTCCAATAAAAGTCAATCTGCTTGTTTTTAATTTAAATAAAAAATTTTTAAAAAAGAAGTCAATCTGCTTGTTTGCTACACTAACAGACATAGCTGCTGTTAGGAGCCCACTAACAGGGCCTGGAGGCCTCATACATTATGTAATCATCACACATCCACAAATACCCTATCTAGGATTACCTGTCACTACAGTGTTACTTTAAAGAAAAAGAAAAAGCATTGAGAAAAGGAGTAAAAACAGAAAAAAAAAAACCTTTAAAACAACTTTTAAAGAATAAAATATAACAGGGACAGAAGTGAATAATTTGTATGAAATTCTCAAAAAATTAAACATTTATCTAAAAAACGAAAGATGACTTTTAAATGTCAGCCTGTGTGTCTAGCCTGTGTCTGGCGCCTGTGTAGTTTTAAACAGTGCTGTGTTCAGACACTGCACAGGTACAAATTTAACACCTCCAGAAAGAGCTCCTGACCTTGGTTCAGTTCTCTGCACTTAAAAGAGGATTAGCCTGGAGCCATCATTGTCCAAACTGATGCTAATCACTTTCTTCTGATTAAAAGGGCACCTAAGGCCATTCGAAGCTCCAGCTAAGTCAGCAGCAACCTCGATCTCCCAGGAAAGCCCGAGAAATACCCATGATCCTGACCGTGGCTCTGGGACCCATCTCTGTGTCCACAGTGTCACAGTCCTGACTGTGACTGTGGGATGCATCTCTACATTCAGTATCACAGTCCCGACTGTGGGACACATCTCTGTTCACAGTGTAGCTAATGCATTTTATCAAGGTTACTTTTCACACAAAGGAAAAGATTTTAAAAGGAAGGAAGAGAATCTGACTACTGTTTAGAATCTGAACCATCCCTGCAGTTTCACACCCTTGACACACAGCAAGCACCACACTAAGATCTAAATCTTTCTTCTGAGACCTCTTGCAGAGCATCTGTGGCCAGCACAGCAGTGCTCACCAGGTTCTCTCTCTACAGCCTGTGTTCCCCTTGCCTGGGGAATCCGAGTCTTAAACACACACACACACACACACACACACACACACACACACACACACACACACACACACACACACACAAATCAATTCACTTCTGAGCATTTTAGCCAAAAACGCTTTTAATTTTGATCCTAAACTGTTAGTGTCTCTTGATTATGGGGAAAAGAAATCATAAAGGGTAAAATGCTTAATGCAGTCATTTAGGATGTGACTTACTTAGATATGTGGTTACCAACTCCAGAAAGTTAAAGGAACACTTGATCTGTGGTAAGGAACTATTTGCAGCTTTTGGAGTCAGGTCTCACAGCACATAGCCCAGGCTGACTGCCATCACTCTGGGGTGCTGCTTTTGGAGATGTGTCCCACCTCACCCATCTCACAGCTTACACCTTTCAGTCATGGAGAAAACATCTGAAGGGCTATGGGGCAGAGAACACACAAAAATAATCTACCTAGTCGAGAGTGGTAGCACATGCCTTTAATCCCAGCATTTGGGAGTCAGAGGCAGGTGGATCTCTGTGAGTTTGAGGCCAGCTTGGTCTACAGAGTGAGTGCCATGATAGGCTCCAAAACTACAAAGAGAAACCCTGTCTTGAAAAACCAAAAAAAAAAATCTACCTATAAACTCAGCATGATGCAAAGTATACTATTCCACATAATGAAAATAATATAGGCTTGATTGAAAAATAATGGCTAAAGGGTTAGCATGTATGTAACTTATTCTGTAGTTGTGTTGCCATAAAATTGTATTTAAGTTACATCTGGGAAAGTCTAAGTGCCCACAAGGTAACTGACTAGAAGCAGCTCTTGTTGACTCTGTATAAAGCAGAGCTGATGGCAACCTTTCTTTGTGGCTCTCCATCATTTCACATGGCGTTTATTATTGCTGTTGTTGTTTCTTCAAGATGGGGCTTCTCTGTGTAGCTCTTGCTGTCCTGGCACTAGCTCTGTAGACCAGGATGGCCTTGAACTCACAAAGATCGGCCTGCCTCTGCCTCTCAAATGCAGGGACTAAAGGTGTGTGCCACCATGCCTGGTAGTCATTTGTTTCTTCCAGAATATAGCACTACAGTCTTATAAGGAAGTCAACTGTTTTGTTACCTAATCTATAGCAAGTAAGAACACTGCAAATTGATCAACTCTTCTCCAGCTGTTCTAACAGAATGATCATTTTTATTTTTCAGTGCTGGTAATTAAAGCAAGGGATTTGTGCACAGCAGACTAACATTCTACTGAGCTGTCCCCACCTAGCCCCAAAGAATGATGAATTCTAGCAATACTCCATCAATGTCTCTAACAGACAAGTCACCTAATTGGAGTTATTTTTATTTTCTATATATCTATAACTTCACTGTCTGTGTATGTGTGAGTGAACACTGTTGTGAGTATGAATGTGGCTGCTCATGTGAGGATGTCAGAGAACAACCCAGGTCACCCTGATCCCTGCCTTCCACCCTGATCTGATGCGGGGCCTGTTTCCCTGCTGTATACACCAGGCTGGCTGTCTGTCTCCCCATCACTTCCCTACAAGAGCACTGGGATAACAAACACTCTTGTTATGGCGCCCCGCTTTTGTACGCATCCTTATTCTCACATGGCAAGCATATTTACCACTGACCCAACCCTCCTCAGCCTTACCTAACGTATTCTAATAGAAGACACTATGATTATATTCTTATTTTGTTGTTTTGTATTTTAATTATTATTGTATGGAATATTCTTTTTTGCTAATACCTTTAAAATGAAATAGTGAAGTGTAGTAATAAAAAGGAGGAGACCTCGTTTTCTTATCTTTGGAAAACAAACAAAAACAGCTACCTCAAAAGGTTACCACTCCCAGTCTGGTCCCACTCTCTCTATAGTACTTAGCAAAATGAAACTCAGAAGCTGTTCAGTAACTGTGATGCTGTTGTTCTGAGGGTTAGTGTTGACTACAACAAATGCCGAAATCTTACACAGGAGTCCAACGTAACAGTCAGAGAGGACAGCGTACAAATTTAACACAAAGGCATGGCTCTGGCCTACTGAGTCAATATAATATTTTCACCTGTGGTCCTAATTAACCATCAAAACTAGATACATGGAGAGAACAATGGATGATGTGCTCCACTGAGTATCACCACAGAGGTTACCCACCTGTGCAGCTCTTCTGTTTTCTCTTCAGTTGGACCTACGATTAGTAAACAATGGCGAAGGACAGCTGCCATGACACGGAACTGATGAGAGTCACTCTGTGGTAAATAAAGAGGAGAGGAAGAGTTGGGGGCTGAAAGCCTTAACAAAGGAGTCTGGCACAATAACACATCACAGTTCCCCAAATGCTCCTTTGCCATAGAGGGAGATGGCAAGATATTCCAAAACTTCCAAAGCAATAAGCAAATCATTGCTATTCCACATGAATTAATAGCCACAACCACCTGCAGAAATGGCTAATGCCAGTAGGTGTTGGCCTAGCTACTGTTTTATCTTTTTGAAAACTCAATTCACTTAAGAATTTTTCATTTCCAGATAGTCTGGATTCTTTTGTTCACTGTAGCATACTATTCCAGTTCACAGACCTTACAAAAGTTCAGCAAATGTAAGCTATACTGAGACAGTTCTTTTATAACTGGCTGACCATTTTTAACGACTGTTTCACCTCTTAGCATTCAAGAATAATGAGCACAACAAAGGATCTTGCTACGTAGCACAGACTGGTCTCTATCCTGTGACACTCTGCGCCCCAGCTGCTGAGCTTGCAATATGTCTATACCACCATGGATGACCACCTTTTTAATCTCTCAGGTCCACACAGTACCACAAATGGTCAGAACTGTATCCCCTTACTTTCCAAATACTTACTCATTATCAGCGAATTAAAGACAAAGAGCTAGAGAGAAGGAAACCGACAACAAGAAATAAAACCAAATTCTGAATAATTGTTTTAGCTCTGCAACCTCTGTATCTACAATGAGGTCTTGGGTCATTATAATTTCTTTTTCTTTTGGTGTATATGTGTGCAATGTACATGCATATGTGCTGTGTGTCTACATGTGTACACATTTGTGTGCAGAAGCCAGTGGCTGATTTCAGATGTCTTCCTTTATTACTCTATTGCATTTAGTGAGGCAGTTTCTCAATGAATCTCAACTCACTTATTTGCTAGTCTAGTGAGCCAGCCTTCTCCACAGAGCAAGCTCCACCACTGGGGCACAAAGACGACAGGCAGGCTGCCACACCCACCTGGATCTTATGCAGAGCAGAAATCTGATCCTCATGCCTGAACAGCAAGCACTTTATCTGACAAACCATCTCCCTGGCACAATTACAATGTATTCAACCACTTGCATCAAGGTTCTATATCTCTCTGGGGTTTTGTTTGCTTTTTGAGACAGGGTTTCTCTATAGCTTTGGAGCCAGTCCTGGAACTTGTACTATAGATCAGGCTGGCCTCGAACTCAGAGATCCACCTGCCTCTGCCCCCCAAATGCTGAGATAAAAGGCATGTGCCACCACTGCCTGGCATATGTTTTTGTTTTTTTAACACAATGAAGAGGACACAGCAAAGTAGAGATAATTATAACAGCCTGGATATGCTACGGTCAGTCTCTATCCATGTTGGTCTTTCCCCAATCTGCAACTGCAAACACCACTTTTTACCCCATTGCCTTCTTTTAATAAGCAATAATTTCAAAAGGTCCTTAGTATATAGTTAACTTCACCTAAAGTGAAATATGTGTGCATTTATTAAACATATATAATTTATTAAACACATATAATTCAGTCTTTCTAAGACTCTTCCCACAGACTCTAACAAACATAGGACACACTTTCATTATTCATAATATGGCTGAAAATACTTTAGACAGCACATCACATACAGATCTGAGACAGAGAAAGGCCTCAGTCATAAAAGGAGACAGTGTCACACTTGGAGTCCAGCAGCCACCTATCTGCCTGTGATCTTCAGTCCCTGCCCACACACTTGCACAGACATGGGGTCCTGCCAGGACTCAAGAAATGGTCTCATAATAGTTCTTTAAAACCCTGACTATGAGGTGAAGGGGGGAGGGGAGGGGGGAGGACGTGAAATATGACTGCCAGTGATGAAACAAGTGGCAAGGAAGCAAGGAGCTGGCAAAGTAAGAGCTCTTAAAACGGGCCAGTGGGAAGCAAGGAACGCAGCTGTCCAGTTGCCACCCACCCCAATGCTTGAGTGAAAATTCTCCCTAAAGTACGTGAGGCAATGAAACCTATGTCAAACTAATCTATTACTTAACCACTGGTAAGAGTATCTCTTATGAGAGATTATATGTTAAATGCATCACCTATATTTAATATTCATTAAATATACATTAATAGATATTTATACCAGGTGGTGGTTACACGCCTTTAATCACAGCTTTCTGGAGGCAGAGGCAGGTGGATCTCTGCAAGTTTGAAGTCAGATGTCTTCAAAGCAGGTTCCAGGACAGCCAGGACTGTTATGCAGAGAAGCCCTGTCTTGAAGAAAAATTCTCTTGCTTGGCTATGAAACTGGGTAGCACCCTGGGCTCTGCCTGAGCCACTGAGCGCCATCTCCAGACCTTGCTTTATTGTGACAGGTCTCACCACGTAAACCAGGCTGTCCTTGAACTCATGCCACTGTATTGCTCCTGCTCACTGCTAGAGATTCCAGGGGTGCAGTACACCACACAGCTGTGTTTCCTTTTAAGCCAGACAGCCCTTTATTCTGGAGGTGACAAGCCTTGCTCATCATGGTCAGGACAAGCCTCTTAAAAATCTATCCATGCTGGTCTCTGCCCAAGGTGCAACTGCAAACAGCACTCTCTACCCCATTCTGTTCTCTTCATACCTCTTACTCCCAAACTGTACTTTCTGTCCGCAATGTCCCCTTTGCCTATATCTACTTAAGTCTGTATATCCCTGATCAGAGCAACTTCTGAACACGGCTGTCCTACCTCTATTTCCTGCTGTCAATTCCTTTTTTATCTCCAGGAAGCTCCCCACCCCCACCCCCACTTTTAGCAGATATGTTTTGTTTGGGGGGGTTAAAGATTTATTTATTTATTTATTTATATGAATGCTCTACCCTGCATGTATGCCTTTATAACAAAGGAGGACATCAGATCCCACTATAGATGGTTGTGAGCCACCATGTGGTTGCTGGTAATTGAACTCAGAACCTCTGCAAGAGCAGCCAGTACTCTGAACTGCTGAACCATCTCTCTAGCCTAGGAAGCTCCTTCTTTGGGCAAGTGATCTGTATCACTGTGTCCTGTTAAAGTTTCTTTTGTGGAATAATTTGCAATGTCACATATTTAACTAAACTTTCACATACTTCATTTGCTCCACTAATTATCTTCATGAAGACAAAAGGCACATGTGTAAACAGGTGTACAATAAATGCTAATCCAAGTGGTCAGGCCTGACATACAGAGAGAAAACTGTCCAAATTCTAAGTGTATAGCTGAACAACTTTTCACAAAACGAGCAGCTGGTAAATGCCAGCATTAAGAACCTCAGAACTCTCCTAGCCTGCAGATAGCATGCTCCAGAGCTCGAACCTCCAATATCCCATTTGTGAGTTTTGTTAATACTGAACGTTGTATGGCTGGACTCCCAGTTCTCTCTGGTTGAGTCTGACCCACGCTGTATGTAGTTGGAGTGGCTCTAAGTGCTGAGCTGACCCACCATCATCTGTCACAGCAAGAGTGTGTGAGCCGGAGGGACTCTCTGAACAGTCTGACATCATGCTGATTCTGTCCATAGAAGACTTCCATTCCAGTGGAGATGTCTGGGGCCTTCCCAGCAGACAAGAAAACACTGGGGACGGTGCAGGAGCACCACTGGGGCTGGGCAGATGGTGAGTGGATAAAGTGAGCACCAGGTTCTGCAAGAGACCCTGCCTCAGACAAATAAGGCAGGAAGTGACTGAATGAGGCAGCTGACACACACATGCCTCCACACACATGCAAGCCCACACATGCGAACCCACATACATACATGCACATACATTTTTTTCAAAACAACACTGCTATCAAGAATGCACTGAATATATCACACCACAATGTACCAATCTACCCTCTCTCAATGGACACCTTATTCTCCTTTCAGTTTATATCTCAACAAATACTTTTTAGAGGCATGCTATTATCAACTTTTATCCAACAAAGAGAGTGAGTGGGGCCAGAGAGATGGCTCAGCAGGTAAAAAAATGTTTGTCATGCAAACCTGATAATCTAGGTTTTATTCCTAAGCTAAGGTAGATGGAGAAGCAATTCTACGAAGTTGTCCTCTGACCTGTTATATGTATGGTATAATGTGTGCAACACCCCCATCACATACACACACACACACACACACATACACACACACACACAGATAAATTTTAAAAATAAAATTTACTGCTGGGTGTCATAGTACACATCTTAAATCCCAGCACTTGGGAGGTAAAGGCAGGAGAATAGTCTGGCTACACAGTGAGTTTCAGGCCAGCTAGGGCTACACAATGAGATCCTGTCGCAAAAAAAAAAAAAAATAAAATAAAATAAGTTTAGGGGCTTAAGAGATGGATCAGTGGTTCAAAGTACTTAATGCTCTTGCAGAGGAACCAGGTTCAGTGGCCAGCACTAACGCTGGGTCACTTACAGCCACTGGAACTCCAGTTTCAGGGGATCAGATGCTTGCTGGCCTCTGAGAGTACCTGCATGGATGTGGTGTGTATCAATTCACACAAGCACACACATACATGTGTAAATTTTTTAAAAATTCTTTAGGAAAAAGGCTATTATGAACACAATTTCCTACTGTTAGTTACTGTTGCATAAATTTCAGCTCTCTGATCTTCAGTGTTCTCCTATGTCCAGCAGAGCTAACATTCATACTTCACAGACACCAGGTGTAAATGCAACTTCTCTTTGTAAAACATTAGCTAAACAGTACACACAAGTCTTATTTTCTGGCTTTATGACTCAGGTTTGCTGTCTTTAGGGCATCAGTATTTTCATCTCTCCTCTGTAATAATACTACATCCCAAGGAAGGGAAGAACGAAAGTCCCCTAGAACAAAGACAAGGGAGGAGGGAGAGACAAGCAGGCTGAAGTGGTGACAGGGTCACAGAGATTAGACACAGCAAACTCTTTGAGAGCTCTTCACACAGTTGTCACTCCTTAATTAGAGGCCACTATTTCCTAGTACTTTTCACTCTCATGCAAACTGTAAAAGACCCCACCTTATTTACAAAAAAGTA